TTTTTTTGTTTCAAACGTTTCAAACTAAAATGCTAGGTAAAAAAGTGCCACAATGGTAAAAAAGTGAAATTATCAGAACCTTCCAGAAAAGTCAATAATCATTCATGGTACAAATCGCTTTATTTTCCAAAATAATTCATAATAATAATAATTCATATTCAATAATAATTTATTTTCCAAATCCCAAAAATATCATTTATTTCTAACTATTCTAATTATTGAAGTAATTCTTGTGGTAAATAACCGATGCCGATTTGAATTTAATCAAATATTTCAGTATTGTGCGCATCCTCTCATGTGGTCAACATTTCACGTACAAATGTTTATTGCTTTCCTTTTGTGATTTTGTGAGTAGCACCAATTGTTTGAGTTGATTCTGATAAATTGACTCTCAATCAAAATGGCATCATCATCATCTGGGTCAACTAATCAATCACAATGTTGCCGCTTGGTAAGGCAATTATTGTATTTATAATTGGAAAAAATAAAAAAAAAATCACTTGAAGAGTGACAATGAAATGGTGGGCATATTACTGGGAATTGAGAGTGTGACCGAATACGAAAACACACCATGGTTCTGCAGAAGACCGGCGCATCACAAAACTGGATTGAATCTTGCTCAATGGAAACCAAAAAAAAAATAGACGATTATGATTTGCATTCATTTTTAATTTTCACCACTTATATGGGTTTCTCATCAAAAAAGAAATAACATCCAAAACAAAAATAAGTTTTTTCTAGTTTTTTTTTCGTCTTTCTTAAAAATTAAGCTGATTCTAGTTAGTTTGGTGGTATCTATGTCTGTCTATGTCAAATTTCTTTAAATTCAAAGCAATGGGCCAACAGAGTATTTCGTCAATAGTCTGAAAACATGAAAAACATATAATTTTAAAATGAAATTGAAAAATATACAATTTATGACATAATATATACAATTTTTGTTTTTTGATGCTGTACTTCGTTCAGTAAGTTATTAAAGTTATCAGCGTCTTCAGCTGGAAGGCATTTGTTTAAGTTTTGTCTGATTCTATTCACCTAAAAAAAAAATAACAACAATAATAAAATAGAGATGAATCGTCAAAGTTGTCCGGCTATATACTTGCCACACTTGCTGGTATATTCGAAAATATCTGTTGATTTAAGCCACTTCTGAGTACTTGTGCTGCTTCCGCATATTTTCCACAATCCGATAATGCAATTAATCGAATATATAACGATGTAAAATGTTTATCGCTGGGTCGTAATATCTCTAGCGCTATTTCGGGTTGATTCAGGTTAATTGCGTTCATACACAAGAAATTGATAGCTTGCGAGAGTTGATGTTCTTTAACTGATTTGTTCCATATCTCCAACGCGTACGATAGATGATCTTGTGTATTCTATACAACATGAAGGTATTATTAACATACAATTATTGAATTTGACACTATCTAAAGGGAGTCATAATGAATTCAAACCAATTTATAACAGGCGGCGAAAGTAATACAGTTTTGAAGATATGATGACTTCATGCCTCTCTTTGCATTAACAGCATTAGCATTTTCAACTACATATATCAACTCTTTGTACATGCCATTGTTGAAAAGTAAATCACATAAAATAATTGTAGAATTGTGTTGATTAAACATGTCCTTATTTTTTATGTTGGCAGCGATCTAATTCAAAAAATCAAAAGAATTAAATGTATTTTTAACAATTGAGTTTGTCAATAATAAAATTTCTATTTACATTCAGTGCTTCATCTGGCATATTTAGCAAATGAAACATTCGCATTACAGTTGGTGGAAAGTTGTAATTTTTTTTTGCTGGATCTGGGTGAGGATTATTATATATGAAATCTAAACAGTCTTTCAGCAAAGAAAAGTGTTTCTTGCATTGTTTTGTGTCTACTACATGAATCCATATTTTTAGTGTTTGAATTAATTCTTCAATATTTTCGGACCGTAATTGAAATTTCATCTTTTTCAACACTGTATCCGGTTGACAATATTCTCCGCCACGTTTCACGGCTTCCAATCTCCGTGATTCATAATCAGATACTCCTAGATCCTTTTCCGAATATAATGTCCTCATTGAGCCCACCGTTACTACAAATTACAACGAAATCGCATTAGTTTTGGAAGATATTTGAATACCTCACTCAGTACTCACATGCATTGTGATGTAGCGAATGCCGGAAAATTCGCAAATTATTTAATATCATCGTTATATTTATATTTATATTTATAAATATGTTTGAAACGAAGTATTCCTATTGTTTTTATTGTGAGGTTATTTTTTTCTTTATTTCATAAACATCAATCTGACAGTGACATTGAAGCACTAAACTTCAAAACTTTCCAATTTGAAATATGCAACCGAATGATTGAGACAAGATTACAATGCTGAAAAAATAACATTTAAAATGTGAAATGAAAATATATGAGAGAGTTTTCACTTTTGTTTGGCCTTTGTTCATTGGGTCATTTACGGAATTCTACTGCAGCTAGTTTTTACAAGTATTTTTCTAGTATTTCTTGTGCCTGAAGTTGGCTCTAAGTAGTATTTGCATGCCATTGCCATTGAATATCTTAACTCAGAGTCCGTATAATAAATGTAAACGGTTTCATTGCATATATTGAAACTTATGCTTTTATATTGGATATATTTGGAAAATTAGACCTTTTATGTTGGGTTTATTAAAAAAAAACGAATATTAAATATTTCAACTTATGAGCTCTTCGATTTATTTCGCATTAAATTGACAAGCTAAAATGTTCAAATAACGACAACTGGTATGGATGTTTAGAAGTTTATTTGAAATAAATTATAATGCAATACATTCGTAGCCATAATCTTTGCATTGGTCATTGAAGTAACTCTTTGGGTAAATAACCGATTATATCATCAGCATGTTGTTGTATAATTCTCTTTCGTTCAATTGCAAATATTTCTTGTCTGGAATAATAAAATAATAAAATGATGGATTTTTTTTTAAATAAAAAAAATATGTTCATCAAAACAAACCTTCGTTTTTCATTTTGAAAAAGTTCATTTTGCTCTTGAATTAAATCGAATATTTCAGCATTGCGTGCATCTTCTCGTGCGGTTAACATTTCACGAACAATTCGATAATGTTCTTGTTTTTTAACGCGTTGTCTTTCCTTTGTGAGCAACTCTAATCGATCTTGTTCGGCCAACCGTTTGAGTTGATCTTCACGGAATCGATCTTCATTCTGCTTTCTATGCAGTCTTCTCATTTCAATTTCTTTTAATTGATTTTCTAGCTCAAGTTTGGCTTTCATTTGCTGTCGAATCCGATCTTCCAGTTGTTTTCTATCCAATACCAACTGCTTCTCGTGAACTTCCTTACATTTAAGCTCAATAAGCACTTCTTCTCGTTCCAATTTTCGGCGCTATTGTAAAATAGAATTTATAATCATCATTCATTTTAATAAGACAATTGTTTAAGTACCTCAATTTCGTTCAGTTCGAAGCACATTTGCTGTTGTTGTTCGAGCTTCGCCAACATTTTGTCACGATCGATATCTTTCATTCGTTTTGCATATTCCTCACGTTCGACAATGTATTTGACAATTTTTTCATTCTCTTCGGTAGCGATGCGTTTTTGTTGCTCTTTCCATTCATTTTGCTCTTCAATCAATCGCACTATGTCCGTTCGCAAACATTCAGTTTTTCGTAATTTCTCTTGAATTTCCCTGAAATAAGACGAAAATATAATATTATAAGCATTTGCTGTAAACTAAATAAAAATAAAATGTAAAACTCACTCGATCTCTTCTCGTTGAATTTGCGCCATAATTTCGTCGATGATGATTTTCTCTTTGAGAAATTCTTCGTAGAGTATTTTCCGTTTGAATTGTTTATCAGCAATTTGCTCGAGTAATTCTCGACGATGTTGTTCTTGTTTTAATTGTAGTTCTTGCTTTTTTTGTCGCTCCCGCTGTAGATCGTTGTTGAGTTTTTGTTTCATTTGTTGAACATCTTGTTCGATTTGAAGTTTTTCTTGCAGACGTTTTTTCTCGCGTTCGGCCAACTGGACTTTTAACGACTTGTTTACGTAAGCCGCACGAATTCTTGTTTCTAATTCACGCAATTCTTGACTATTTTCACGAATTTGCTGCGCCATACGCTGATCACAATACAAACGATATTTCGCTTCACGACTCAATTCATCTTGTTCGTCCATTATTATTATTATTTTTTTTTTTTTGAAAAATGTGTCGAAAAACATAAAATATTGCGAAATTAAAACACCAAATCAGTTCTAAAATAAAAATAAACAATATTTGATCTGTCAATTAATAACGACTCTTGCTACTTAGCAACAAATGCATTCCACCTGTCAGTGGTTCAAACAAAATTCAGGTTTCGACAGCTGTTTGAGCGTGTGAGTTTGGCGCCAAAATCACCTGTAGTGTGTAAACTGAACACAGATATCTACAATTGTGTTGAAAAGGGTGCACATGAAACAAATCAAATCGAATTCATTTTTCAATAAACAAAACGTTATTGATTTCTAAGACAGAAAATGAACATAATTTCGTTCATATATTTATTTTTGAAATAATTTTTCATTTAATGTACAGATTGATTTTTTTTTGGAACAACAGTTACATAAAATATTATATTTGGACTACGATCTCTGTTACGTTTGGGAACAAAAATATAGAAATGTTTCAATTAAAAATAAATATTTCAACTATCTCGTTCAATCCTCATTCGTTATTGTACCGTTTCATGAAACATTAAATCGTTTTCAAAATTCAGACTAAGTTTTCTGGAATCATGTTATAATTTCACTTTTTATCAATATTTCACCGTATCTTTTTTTAGCTGTCGCTTTCAATAGCGACACACAGAAGAAAAAAAAGGTATTATGTCTATATATATAAATTCATCTGTTTTTATTGATTTTCTAGCGAAACTAATCTTCAATCTTAGCGAATTCATTTTGAGTGTAAACATAGAATTTTTTGCAATTAAATAATTGCCAACAGCACTACAATATGTCATCATTATTTTTGTTTTGTTCATCTTGGTTTACTTGGATTTGAAAGCACAACCACAATAATAATATTAATAGATTCCATATACCCTAAACATTCGTCAAATTTTAAATACACCTTTCCACATAACCTAAGCCTCTAAATTTTATTGCACTTTTTTGTTTAATTTATATTTTTTTTACAAATATATATGTTTTAAGCTGGTTTTGCGTTGTAAATTATTCGACTATGAGAATCTCACTTTTTTGAGACCACACTTGGTCTGATTTCTATCGATAAGTTGAAACAATGGATTTGTTTAAATTGTTTTTTTTTTTGTTTTTGTTATTCAATTAAATGTGCAGAAAAACCGTATAAATCGGCACATGATACTATAATTTATTGGCCGTCGCCGGTTTTTTTTAAATTTGTTCATTATTTTGTTGCTGTTTTCAGTTTGATTTTAGTGATGACAATTATGTCCAACATTCAGAGTTCGCAAATATAGATTTTGTTTTTGGCTTAATTACAAATACAATCTAATAATAATAATTAAACATAAAATTCTGGCAACAAAAATCAGTCTGAAATTATACGAATGATCTCACTGAGTCTACTATCCAACTGTTGAGTTCAGAATTTAATACGCTCAATTTGATCATTCAATCGAAAATAAAATAAAAACTATATTAAAAAAGCGATGCGCTTAATGTAATGCAGTTTTTTTTTTGTGGAAAATCAAAAACAAAAAAAATCATTGTAACTTAAATTAAAATAAAAACTAAAATTAAATTCGCCAATTAGTTGGAGGATGTAGCCCATTTGCCATTTTAAATCACTTTTGAAGCCAATTTAATGTTGCTTCTCTGAGAAAAAGAAACTAACTCTACATCGGCAAACCGTGCCTACATTTATAAATGTTCACAAGAATAAATAGTCAAAATCTAAATGTATATATCTTTGTCAATCGTTCTAAATTCCATTTATATATATGATTACACAAAATAATTTCAATGCTCTCTGTAAACACCTGTTTTTATTTTAATTTTTTCAATAAATTTTGATACTCTGGAATAATCGTGTTTGTGTATATTTTCGTGTTTCTGTTAATTGTCGCCAATTGGTTTTTGTTTTTGTTTTAGTTTTGGTATGTGTTTCTTAATACTTATCGTTTGCAGTTCATTAAGTTTGCTCATAGGAGGCGATTGGGGTGAGGGGTGGTTGTCGGCGATGGCGATTAGTGCCGTCGGCCGGTAAATTGCTTACTTTTTACTGTACAAATCTTGTAGTATATGCTTTTCGTCGCGACGCAACGCAAGCAAACCGCCCTCGTTTGCATTTTCACGTTCATCCGAATAATCAATTTCAATAATATTATTCGATTCGATGATGTCCTCAATTTTAAAAAGACCCCCATCAATTGCATTCAAAATGGCATGTGGTCCGCATGTATCCCATTTGAATGTGGTATTTTTGCTAAGCAAAAATAAATCAGCATCACCACAAATCACTTTCATTATTTTATAACCAGCTCCGGCTGAATAAACCACCGTATAGCCTAAGTCTCTGAGCGCTTTGATATATTTTTCATCCTCAGACGATGACACAACCGCGAGTTTGGTATTTTTGAGATGCTCTTTTGGAAGATTTGTTACTTTGAGATCGTCCCCCATGCATACACCCCAAACAATTTTACTTTTGTACCTGAAAATCATCCACATTCGATATTGCGTGTTTGTTAAATGACCGAATTCGAATTTGTGCATGTAATTACCCTGTATCCGTTTTCTCATTGAATGGCTGATTGATAATGCCAGCCAGTGGTTTTCCATTTCCTTTATCGTATAATCCAATCAACACTGTAACACATTCCAAGCCCGAAGCACAAATTTTCGGATATTTTCTTATCGTTTCGGCCTTGATATACTCCTGAGTCGCATCTATAGTACACATGCACACATAACAAACACGCATGCACACAAACAACAGATATAAATAACAACAAAAGAGAAAATTAAATTCAATTAAAATAATGTAAACAAATTATTCTTCTATTTTTCAAAAAAAAAGCTATATATTGAAATGTGCCAAACCAATCGGATCAATCCAAATTCCAACTCCTGATAGGTCCAAATTGTCTGGCTGTTGGCAATAAAATTGGTTTTGATTTGTTTGGTTTTAGTCAATTTTATCGGACACAAACATTGAAGCGTAAAAAAATGACAAGCAAATGTAATTACCAAATCGGGCAGTGCGTCAACGTCACCATGTTCACAAATAACTGTTCGGTATACTTCGGCAGCTAAAAGTTCGGCAGCAACTCGGTCTCCATCCAAAATTTTCACTAAACAATCGATAGTGTTCTCTTGAATATCGGTTATCTCTAGATCTATTGATTCGCCGAGTCCGTTGGTGAATGTAGCTGTCTCTTCACCTTGGATATGAACTAGTGGATACTTGATTTTTTTTTGTGTGTGGAAAAGAAACACAAACGAAAATTACAATAACAATATGTAAATATTATGTCCATTTTGTTTAATCTGTGTTTTCTTCGATTCAAGTTAATTCAATTTGTTTTTCGATGTCATTTCTCTTCACACGCTACACAAAAATCAATTCAATTAATATGAATGGCTTTCGTTTGAACGAAATAACAACATTTATTTTTGTATCTAATTTTAATTATATAACACCAATATTTGTTCAATGTTTTTCTTGTTCGGTTTCTTTTTTTTCACATTTAATTGAAGTTGATTATAATTGCATACCAAATGAAGCAAAAGAAGTAAAATTCATACCAAATTTCCAACGTCATATCGAATGGTTTGTTGGATCAAAACATCGGCCAAAGTTTTGAAATCTTTGACGAAACGAGGATTCGATTCTTCGGCTGGTTTTTCTTCGACAAGCAACGGAAACAAATGTTCATTTTGACGGCACAATCTTGCTATATTGGTTGCTTTTTCCGATGCATGCACCAATGCTTCCATAATATTTTTCACCATTTTTCTCCTTCAATCGTTTTTCTTGTTGTAGATGGTACTTTTTATTCTCTTATTATTATTGATATTGTAGTTTTTCGATTGATTTCCTTTTTCTCACTCTTTCAAATGACTACAAACTTGAAATTGCCAATAATTCTGTACAATTATACGATAGTATGACCGAATTTTCCAATTAGATAAGACGAATCAAACTTTTTTCTTTACAATTCGAATTGATGGAGAAAAGTTATATATATATATATACATATATATATATATATATATATAAACGAAAATTGGGATAGAAAGTGTTTGCTGTGTGAAAATTTCTTGATATATGTATTTTTTTTATTTTCAGATAAACAAAAACATAGAATGCTTTTTTGGTTATGTGATTTTGACGTATATTAAATTAAGGAAATAAAATGGAAAATTATGTTGAGAAGGAAAAAAGTTTTGTGGCTATTTTGAGAGTAAAGTATAAATTTAGGCGATTGTCCAAATATTTTTCTGTCTGTGGAGTTGCTCAACAATTTGACAATTGTGCTAGTTTACAAAAGAGAATGAATGCGTTCGCTTACTCTCTCTCTCACAATGCGTAATGACACTATTCGTTGTTTGAACAAAACTAAATTCAACAGCACAGAGAGAATGGGCGAGATTTTTTCATTAAATTAATTGGAGCAAAAGAAATTGGCAAATTGATTTTTCTACTTTTAATTTGTGATCAAAGCGAAACTGATTTGCTTTTTTACGTTTTTTAAATGTTGTCTTTGTTCAGTTTGAGTTTTGATAATCGATATATACAATAAACGCATCCATGTTCTAGGGCCGTGACGTGTGAATGTCATTGTATGTATGTATGTGTGTGTGTGTGTGTGTGTGTGCGTCTGTCCGCGCTGCTATGTATGTCTATGTATTGAACGATCCGGAATACATAAAAGAATATGGCTGATGTGTTGTTCGTAGCTATCAAATACACACAATCAAATCAGCTCTTAAAAAGTCAATTAGTTCTTTTTCGTTTTATTTCTTTGTATACAGTAAATTTTTGCCTTTAGTTTAATCAAAAATTGGTTGATTGTTTTTTCGTTTGTTCAACTTTATTTTGTTTTTAAATTGTCTGTATCAAATATCCGCCCGACATGAATCGATATTCGTATAACACAGGTGAGATACACACAAAAAGCAAAAATACAAAATGAAAAAATATGATTCACTTGGGCTCTCCCATATCAAATGTTCATATGTGAAATTTTGTGTGGTGTGAATTGAAAGAATATTTGTTTGCGACTGTTATCACAAGAAATATTGTCTGTTCTCCACCCAATCGATTTTGCCTGCGGTGTATGCATTGAATAAATCACAAACATGATGTATACATATTTATATATGCAATTGCATCTGAAAATGCATCTGCTTCGATGCGCAGAACCATTTCAGTTGTTGTTGTTTTTTTTATCATTTAAAATTCGTCGAAATGGAATTTATGGAAACTAGAGCGATCATACGCCGACTAACTAAGATTCATTTGCATTATTTCCTCTCAGGTTGTGTCTGTTCTTAATCAAATTGCAACGAATGCAAATTGAATTGGCCGACCATGCCATTCGTGTTTAATTAGAAATCGCAGTAGTAGAATGTAAACATTGAATCTGATAATTTATCGTGTGCATGCGTGTGTATGGATGTGTGGCTGAGATTTTCCGGTTATGTGATTTTTTGAATTATGATTCACATCTTGTATGATGCAGCAAATACATTCAAACGTCAAATGAATGCAGAGTGTCTGTGTAAAATCGCCAGCAGTTCCAGCAATTGAATATGATTTCATTTGCGTTGCATTGCTCTCGTCATACGCATGCATTTGTTTCACTCAGTGCAAAACAGTGACAACCTTCAATTGGCATTTAATTGTGGACTCGTTTTTTTTGCTTTAGATTCATCCTATCAGGATCGTCAAAGTGCAATGGGCAGTGAAAATATCATGGACGAATTGGCAACATTGATAAGAACTGACATTCCAGAAGGCAGGCAAAGTCTTCAGGACAGCTACACAAATCTAGCTCGCGTCGCTGAATATTGTGAGGATACTTACTATAGGTACATTTTTTTTATCAACCTTTCATATTTTTTTTATGTTGTGTGTTGCGTCTCACGCGGTGTGTTCTCCTTTCACTAATCTAAACACTTGCAAAATACTACGATATTTATAGGTCAGACAACAAGAAAGCAGCGCTCGAAGAAACAAAAAATTATACAACACAATCGCTGGCCAGTGTTGCATACCAGATCAATACGTTAGCGTACAATTATCTGCAATTGTTAGATATGCAAGCGCAGCAACTCGGTGAAATGGAATCACAAATGAATCACATTGCTCAGACGGTTTCCATTCATAAAGAAAAAGTTGCAAGACGGTTAGTTTTCGATATTTTCGAATTATTTTTGGTTTTTCTTTAAATGAATTTTCTTCAAAGTTATCGAAATTTTGTTTCGTTTTTTTTTTACAGTGAGATTGGAGTATTGACAGCAAATAAAATTAGCACGAGACAGTATAAGATCGTCGCTCCATTAAATCCAGAGAAACCAATTAAGTATGTTCGCAAGCCAATCGATTATTCGATTTTGGATGATATTGGCCATGGATTGCATGCTAAACAAAAACAACGAGTATCGGCAGTTCAAGTAAGGAATAAATTCAAACTATTTTGGTGTCAACAGTCATTCTCATCAGTTTATTCAATTCGATTGTAGCAAATACAAGCTCAACCAAATGCCGTTGGTCCACCACCAACAACAAAACCACCAACACCACCTCAATTGAACCGAGGTTCAGTGCAATTGAAGGCTGGCAATACGGGAACGCTTGGAAAGAGTTCGCGCGAGTATCGAACGCCACCAGCTGTTATTCCACCACAAGTTCCATCTCATTATGCGCCAAATTATCCAGTCGGTCATCCACGTCGACAAACTAGTGAACGTGGACCCGGTTATAGTGCCGTTCCAATGCCACCAAATCAACAAATTGCACCGGTTAGTGTTAGTTTCGTTATATTTAGTCAACTGTATTTAAAATACAAGCGTTAATTCAATGTAATTGGTGTTTCAGATAAATCTAGTTCATCCATTGCCACCACCACCACCAACTACCTTTGATGACAGGGGTTCAATGCCAGCTCCTCCATCACCATTGACCATGACTATGACACATGAGATGCCCGATCAAAATCATGTTGGAATGCATACTTTGGGTCGAAATATCAGCAGGTACATTTATAAATCAATTGAATGTTTTAAGTTTTTCTATGCACAAATATGCGCACATTTTCATTTGGAATTTTGTAAATACGGAAATGTTTGAAATTAATGCACGCACCAACACTTTCCTTCTCTTTCTCTCTTTCCTGCTGTCCAATTTCTGTGCACCCTATGTCTATTTCTATTCGTGCTGGATTGCGCTGGAAACTGTAGAAAGCATCTTCACAGACCTGGTTCGCAGTCACCACCATTGCCACCGCCACCACCAGAAGATGACGAAAATCAGCATTTCGGACGGCCAAGAACACAATCGGTTGGTCCATTAGCTCCAATCGTTCCAGATGACCAAAATCTTCCGGGCTGGGTTCCAAAGAATTACATCGAAAAAGGTACTAACTAAATTCGTGTCTTTTTATCACCGTTTTGTTCATTTTCTTCATTTACTCAATTACAATGCATAATTCAAATCATTTCAGTGGTTGCTATCTACGATTACTATGCTGATAAAGGTAAGTTTATACTGTCTATTTGATATACCGTAATTTAACTGACACGTAACGACCCAATTGAATATTCATTGTAATTTTCATGTTTTTGTCTTCTTTTATTTTCTTCTATACAATGAAGATGACGAATTAAGTTTCCAAGAGAGTTCAGTATTGTATGTGCTCAAAAAGAACGATGACGGTTGGTGGGAAGGAGTCATGGATGGCGTAACTGGACTGTTTCCTGGAAATTATGTTGAGCCATGTGTTTAAGCAATGCAACAGGATAAAAAAAGGCAAAAACACCACAAATATCCAAGAAAACTCAGTGCACGGTTCAAATTTTGAACAAGCGAATTAAGTCAGATAAATATCGCATTTACTGCTATTATTATCAATTATTCCATTGTGTGAAGCAAGAAAAAAACGTAATGATCAAGACACAAATTTCATATTTTTTAATTTATAAAAATAAAATATACTACATAATATAAGCTATATTGTATGTTGGGAGTCCTCGTTTTATATTCGTTTTTTCGTTCACTTTTCCAATTGCCCCATTCTGGGATATATGTGAATTTTAAACGGTAGAAACAAAATTGGATTAAATAAACACTCGACCTATAACTATTATTACAATTAAACTAAAATTATGCAATAATCGAAATAAAAAAACAACATCGTTTATATGAATCATTTTGAAATATAAACTGCCAAGTTAAATAAATATTTGCGTGTTTTTTTTTATTTGAATCGTCACATTATTTAGCTTTGTTTAGTAATTCATGTCGTTTATCGCAATAGCTGGAATTGATTTGCTTATCTGCAGGACACAATTTAAAGATTTCTGTATCAAGGCAAATCCTTTACCCGTAAGCTTCAGCCTGTTTAACGCATTTGAATAAAGATGCCGGAAAATCATTAAGAACATAATTTCGTAATCGACCCTTGGTTATCTCTTTATCATCAATCGATTGAACGGAATTTATTTTTAAGAAGCAATTCAATATCAAATCACTTACTCTAGTCATCCTGTATTTAAACGTCTCTTCAATATCTTTGGGGTTGGTTATTGGACCAACATCGCAGCATTCATCTCAAAAATTCCTACGAGGAATATCCTTGTAGTGCGACAAGCAAAATTGTGACAATAAACATCAATTGGGGGATGTTCTTAGCATATAATGGCAAAATATAGAGAAAATTACCTGATTTTTTTGGTGTGCGGACATAATATCTCCGGTCAAAATTGGTATACTTGTCACCAAGATATTTGAAGATATATACTTCTCTCCCTTTGATTGTCGACACACCACTCTGTGGCAACACAAAGCGCGGTGCTATTTGGACTGATGAAAATTGTAGTGAGAAAAGTTGAAAATTTTGAATGCTCACTCAAAATCCTGGGATGGGTGAATTTAAAAAATTGAAAAAATAAACACTCGACCCATAAATTAAAGTGAAATTATGCAATAATCGACCAAAAAAATCATATTTTTTTCAAATACTACAAAGTTAAATAAATATTGCGTATGTTTTTGTATATGACGCCGTTTCAATACTCACGCTCGATGAAAGAAAAGAATAAACAAGTCATTATAATTTCACTGCATGAAATTTGAAGTAATGGACACAAAAGCGTGACAGATGTAAAATGAACAATAGAAGCGGTTTAATAAGATTACTCACGCGACATTCTCTTGGCATTCGTATTCGTGCAACGCAATCAATTTGTTTTAAAATGTTCATTCGTCGCATAAACAAAATAATTGAACGTTTTAACACAACCAAAACGGGCAATTACTAAAATAATTTCAATCAAGACGTGCAAGTGTCAATACTTACCACAGTAGCCACAAACATAACTTTGCACTCAATCTCAATTGCGTATAATATTCAATAAAATCGTTGCGCTAGAAAAAAGAAATGCACCTGACCAAAATTGGTTTGACAATTGTTCAACTTTTTATTAACTTTTTAGTTTCATGAAAATGGTACAGTTTCTCATTTAAAACACAACTAAAAAAAACATTTCTAATGCACAATAAAATACCAAAATGCCAAATTGTGAATATATTCCTATTTTTTTCATTTCTTCATTGAAACTTTAAAAAAATCAGGCACTTCTAAGAAATAATTTATGTTAACAATGGAGCAAAATGTTCTATCGTTGGACAACGGCGACAGAATGGGAGCAAAAAAAAAACAACACGAAAATTCTTATCGAAATCGTTGAAGAATTTCGTTGCTAATATGTATTGTCATGGAATGTTATGTTATGCATTACATGGAAGTCTGAAAGAAACACAGTTTTTAATTGCAATTTTGTTGCGCTTTTGACCTAGTTAATTGTTTGTGCGAGAAATTGACATTAAAGTATCTGATGAAGAACATATGAGTTTGGTTTGGTCTTCGATATTGTTTCATTTCAACCACAAACATTTCATTTTCTTTTCGTTTTCAATAACAATAACAATAGATCATCACCGGTGACATATTATGCTGCATAGCAAATTGTAAATGGCTCACTTTATGGATCATCAAAATATTTGCGTACAATCTAATTTATACAATTTTTTTCGTGTAACAAATCTACTTACATTGAGCAATACTGGCCATTCAGATTGATTGGCTGCATTCATTTGCCTACAATTGTTTTTTTTTTTAATTAGATTATACTTATGATCGAACGTTAATAAAAAATAATTAGCATTTCATGCACACGTAAATTATTCGTCAATTTGTGCGCTTTGGTTTTCGCTGTAATTATAAAAAAGAAGGAAAAAACAATGATTGTTTGATGATTCAGCGTAATGAACATTTGTTTACGACATTTTTTTCATACGCAAATACTTTCTACTTTTCGTGTTTTACTTCTACATTTTTCTGTGTTTGAACAGAATTTTTGTGTTTTCTATTTACTGAAATACACACTTTTATGGTGAACATAACAAACCAAACAAATCTATTTTTGTGAGATGGTTTTTTTTGTTGTTCTTATTGAAAATGGTAAAATCGATTGCTTCGGTTGCACATTTCGTGTTGAAATGAATGGATTTAGATTTGTGCAAACGAAAAAAATGATTCTCACCTAAACCGGCTGGCGGGTTGATTTTTTAGTATCGATGGAAGTCGTGGCACTACTGGTGCTCCCATTAAACGATCCGGATTGTCATTTTGTGTTGTTTGCTTTTGTTCGATGGCTGGCAATGGAGATAGCGACCAATCCGAACTAGACGATGAACTTCCCGGCGATCGTTCGCTGTAAATTTACAAACATTTCCATATTAAATGTGCAAGAGTTAAACCAAAAATGTTCAGTGCTCACCCTTTTGAATAGATCGGTGGAAGCTTTCGATCATATAAGTCCCGTGGTGGAGATAGAGTGCCATTGTATGTGCTCGCATGAATTTCTTGTTGGTACAATGAGTACAATTCACGTAATTCTTCGGGTAATTCAACTTTGCCATCTTCGATGAGTTTTCGTTGTGTCGATATTATATCCTCGCATAAACGTCTCTGACGTTCAGCCCGTAGTAATTGTAAGTCTCTGCGTCGCAGTTCCGCTTGACGTGCTAATCGGTCAGCTTGCAATGAAACCTTATCAGCTTCAAGTTCGTGTACTCGACATAAAAGTGCCAACAATTCACGTTCATCGTCGCTACTTATCCGTTCCGGCAATTCATCTTCTAATGCAACACCTTTTTGACGACACAACTCCAAATCTTTTTCGGTTTGTTCGCGAATTTCCTTGTATCTTTTTGCTTCTCGTTCAATTGCCGCCAATTCACTCCATGCTGATTTTAATGCGATATTACCTTCGGAATCCGAATCTGAAATGGAAATAAAATCTTAAACAATTTAGTTTTTCCAAAAAAGAAATGGAATGGAATTATTTACCATTATCATCGCTCTGATCAGGACCAGTATCATATAGTTTTCCCATACGACCTTGCCAATGTGAAATGACCATATGTTGGCGTTCAGCGTCCAATTCAAGGCCAAGTAAATGACTTTCAGCTTCAAGCAGACGTCGTCGAAGTTTCATTTGCTGTTTAAAAGTTAGCACGATTTGTTCACGTAAATATCTGAGTTCGGATTTTTTCGTTTGTTCTTCAATTGCATTTGGACTGGTGAGCACGGCAGCCGCAATACCACTTCTCGGGCGATCGGTGAGCATTTTTGATCTCAACCGTGTCACCTCTTCTCGCAGTTCGGTTACCAAATGTTGATAATGATTTAGCGGAAATTCGACGGTTTCCTCCATTAATTCCGGTTTCTGTAGTCGTGTTGTTATGTGATTCGCCCGATCTGCATAAATGAGCGTATTTTTCGTTTCGTCACGGTGTTGGGCTTCGGGTGAAACGTGTGCAATCATAACAGTTTTACATCGTCCGCTGAGCGCTTCTTTTAGAAGTCGGGTCAATTTCGAATCACGATAATTAACATATTTGGCACCATCGGATAGTGCATTGATGCAATTGCCGAGAGCCAAAAGACTTCGATTGATGTGAGCACCTTCTTGTAAACGCTTTCCTCGATTTTTTGTCTTTTTTGCTCGTTCGCTGCCAGCCAAATCGGTGAGATATAAACGTCCTTGTTTCGTGCCCAATGGTGTTGAATGTTGTACGGTTACACTGAGCAATGCATGGCTTCGTGATGATGTTTGATTGGCAGCTGTTGGCTCCATCGTGCGCGCTTTATTACCTCTTATCAATAATGAAATCACTTCTTGTCGATTGGTCGCAATTATTTCAGATAAACCAGCAACAGTTACGGTTGTTCGTTTGTCTCTATTATCTTCTCGCAATTCAAGCGGACCGCTTGGATTCAATAAATCCTTGATGAGTTCATTGTAAATTTCCAAATACGAAATAGACACCTTGATATTTGAAATGCAATCAAAATAAAACAGTAATTAATTAGCCATACGAAGAACAAATTGCATTTCATGTTGAAAATGTTATGCATTTTTTAAAAATCGATTCGGATCGCCTCCAATTTCAAACAACAACAACTAAAAACACATTGGAAAACCTCAACTATTGAAAAACATTTCCGTTGCCATTTCAACTTTTGCAACTATTTTCAGCAGCTTCTTGAAAAAATTAACATTTCCGCAGCACGACTACACATGCACACCTGACATGTTAAAAAATTTTGAATGTGATCAATCGAAACACGTGTTAATGAATTTCATTCATGCGCATGAAAAGTAAAAATATCTAAGAAAGTGATTTTTGATAAGTGGGCTATGATAGTCCTGATTTATTCGCATGCTGTACGCCAAACGCAACAACAATAACAAAAATCTATAAGACCTGAATACCCTGAATGCAACAACACAATACAGTTGTGTTTATGTCGCTTTCAATTCCACATTCTCAGCCGCCCCCGAAATAAAACGTCAGAAAAAAAGTGAATTGAGCACGAAAGGAGTTGGAAAAAAAACAATAGCGTAAAACGCAAACAACACGTAAACAGGGAATTGAACGGAATAAACGCGTTTTGTTGATGTTGAACGAAACCAACGAGCTGGGTAATTTTAATCAATAAGCATTAGGGCAAGGTTATGTCTGTAATTATTTATTTAAAAAAACAAGCCTTTAATCGAAACAAAGAATTAGTGGCGAAAGCAAAAGACAACATCTTTCATATATCATTTGGTTTCATAAATTGTTTGCCAATTAATTTTCCGTGACAAACATTCAATTGGTACACTTCGGAATGCTTCATTGACAAATATAAGCAAAGAGATGTTATTGTAGTGAAAATCTAATCTTTCGTCACTCGAACAAACTTCCATGAACTATGATTAAATTTCTACTTTATGATCTACAATTGAGTTCGCATGAATTTTCACCATATTCATTCTATGCTTCCTTTCACCTATCTGTCTCTCTCTCTCTCACGCTTTCGCTCTCTCGTGTGTCGCAATTCGAAAGGAAAATGTGCAAATTTGTTCATTTTTTCAACAAAACAAACTGCATAGAACATGCGAATGATTGTTCGCATTTTGTTTTGTTTTGGATATTTCGTTTTATTTTTATTTACTTCAATTATAACCGATGAAATCAGCGTGTAAGCATTTATTGGGACATTAGCTGCTATATTTCTTTATGAATAAATATGAATCATGTGCGTCAATAGCAGACATGTATTGAAAAACGAACGAATGATGAATTTAATAATGTTGAGAGCTCTGAGCTCAATCAATCGTCACCAATCATAAACAACACGGTCTCTACATTTTCTTTCTAAACAAATTTCGATATGCTGAGAAGTGTTTTATACCTCTTCGAGAGAGAAAAGAAAATCAATATTTTTCGTGTTCGTTTATTCCGGGTCAACCGAAATATAATGCATATCTGATAAATTTAATATAAATATAAATATTTTTATGTCGGTTAAGGTTAGCATGCAGAATGACAGGTGTACGAGATTGTGTTTGCTATTTTCTTCGTCACGCGTATACAGAAGAAGAAGAAGAAGAAGAAAAAACACACCAAGTACCTGATATTCTGATTCCGCAAACAGACGGCTGTAACAAAGCGTTTACATTGGTCAGTTTTTAAATTGCGAATTCTTGCGTGTGACTGTTTGTTTCATCATATATGTGATATATATATTTATTACAATGTGTTTGCTATAAAATGGTTGTAATTTGTAGTTGCGTTTCTAAAATTGCATAAATTAATTAGATCAAAAAATTGAATGAGCAATATAAAGCCATGAGATTGTTCTCTCCAATAAATTCGTTAACTAGTTCAAGCTGAGGGGGAAAAATCACAGAACAAATAACAGCGATAAGCTGAGCTTGATTGTTCACTTTGCTCGCTTAATTTTGACCGAAAAAAAACACACACATACAATACGCGCGTGGTGTTTGGGTAATAGCATGCGACAAAAAATGATTGCGTTACACTAATTTACACAATTGTTTGGCAGAATTTTTTTTTCTACTTTCTGGTACAACCCCAATTTAAGCCATTTATTTGGTATGTAAATATTTTGTAAATAATGGTTAAGCTCTCGCGTATTTAATTCATAACTTTTGTAAATTTCAGAATCCATTGGCACGAAAACCATTGACCTGACGCCATGGAATCTGGTTATTATAACATTCCTTTCGGTGCTATGACCTAATTTTCTACATCGAACTGTTCCGATTTCGAAAAGTTTTCATTCGTTGCTCATTTGATGTGAAGTAATTCGATCCGAAGTTACGAGAGAACGATAATCTCGATATACTTTCAAATTAATCAATTATTTTCAAGAAGTTTTTTTTTCACCAAAGTACTCACAACGCTATTGATTACTCACACCTCCATTCAGAAACTTTACCGGAAACTTTTTGCATGACAAAAGCACTGAGAACATTTAATTATTATCTACCAAATAAACTTGAAACAAATGACATGAATATACATTTGATTTTGTTTACAATTGACACAGAAATCATATCTATCGATTTCGAAAACACAACAAGCAAAACCTCGCACCAATTTTAATGAAATAATCAAACTAAAACCGTTGTGTGAATTGAAATCTCATGTGAATATGAGGTGATAAGGTATTCAATTAAAATAATAAACGGATTACCATTAATTATTAAATATCGCGTGTAATTGTTACTCGTTCCGAGTCCTTTGAATGAAACCGAAAATGAATAAAGAAACAATTGCCATTGTGTACAGACACACAGATTCACCCCATATCAGCCCCAACCGATCTGGTTACAAAATATTCTGGTGTTATTTTGAACATCAAACACAATTTGGTTTGTGTACGCTGGCGATGGATGATTAGATAAATGCCTTTCGTAAACGTCATATTTCGATCGGAAATGCTGTGTGCCACACTCTTCATACATTGCTTGGCGATTTTTCTCTCCATTTCGTTCACTCTATGAATTGTTTCGATAGGTTTCGGAAGTTCCAAAACATTTCTATGCTAATGTGTTTGTTCGGGTTACTGTGTGTCAATGTTTTCTAAATGCGCTATATCTTATCCTCAATTAATTCATGCGAAGCTTGTTTGTGGCAAGTGTACATTGTACTATGTATTCATGCACAACAATAACATACATCAACCATGTATAAAAGAAAGCAATTTCCAAATAATAATGAACTTTAGCGTCGGCAACAGTGAATGGATGGCAACAACTATGACCATCGCAATTATAATCTTTTCTCAATATCGAATATCATTAAATTCGGAAAAAAAGTGGTGCTTGTTACTTTTGGATTCATTTCTTTTTGGACTTTTTGTTGAATCACAATATAGTTTCATATTTTTGATGGACTTTCTTAACCGATATGTGAGAAAAGCAATTTATAATATTCACATCAAAATGCAATTTATAACGTTCAACGTTGAATGAATTTTAATTACCTTGAATGATTCGGGGTGGTCGGCCTGTTCGACATGTCGAAAGATTTCATCCATAGCTTTTACCTAAGGAGACAATCACAAAAGAAAAGAATTAATTTAAAATAATCGACAAATAATCGACTAATAATAAGTAAGTAATTTTCAAAATAGCTTTTACCATTAAACCGCCGTCCGTTGATTGTGTTTGAACCGAAATTGCGGTTTTTGGTGGAAATTCGGCAGTTGATGATGTCGGTGTGCCGACTACTTTTCGTGGATTTGGACCGAGCATTGTATGGGTTTTACCTATAAATTACAACATTCAAATTAATCAATTTCAATTTTGCGTCTTGTCATCGTTTTTTTTCTTCCTTCGTACCTGATCCAGTAGCACCGTATGCAAATACAGCCGCACTATACCCCCGGAGAACGTCTTTGATAAGTGGCGATGTGGTTGTTTGGTATACTTCATCTTGTGTCGAATCCTCGGCAAATACATAATCATACATATATTTTTTCGGTTTATTGTGACCATCATCGAAGTACAGTGACTTTTTTGAAAAAACTTGAATGCATTTCTCGTCTTTGAGATGGATTGGTGGTCGAACGCGAACCGCAACCTATTTTAAATTAAGATTTTTTTTTTAAATTTCAATTCCACGATTTGTTCAATTTTGAAATGTGTCACGATCACACTAACCATTAATCGTTCTTCGCCTTGAACTGGGTGTGTTGACGATGAGCTGCTGCCACTGCTTGATGAATGGTTGCTCGTCATGTTGCCCTTATTAATCATTCAATCTGAATACTCCTTGAGAACAAAGAAAAAAATGTTCAATTTTACAGAGCTGCTATTGATATTTGCTTCTTTTTTTTTATTTCTATGCTATAAATCGATGGAAACACGCAGAATTCAAATAAAATCCGAAAATACAATGAAACAATTAATTTGAATGCATAAAATCCAATGTAAATTTACGACATTGCAGAATGCGATAGCTGTTGCACTTTTTTATGCAGTGTGTTTCTTTTCTTCATGCGATCACCATCAATAGTGGCCCAAATAAACACCATAAAAACTCCGTTTGAAACATTGTTATTTCACAACTATTATCTAAAATCTTGCATACTCTCCTTGATGTGATATTTGAATTTAAACAAAAAAAAATGTAAATTCTCACCGATTGACGTAATAAACGGAATAAATTGCATACCACAAGGGATTTATATGTGTGGAAAACTACTGCCCTCGAGCGAGCATTATGGTCATAACCACAACAATTCTTTTTATTGCTCATCGTTTGTATAACCGTCGAAATATTATTGATTAATGATTTGCATCATTACTTCATCGCAAACAATTGGATTATTTACTAATTATTTCACATTAACGTCAATCGTCTGATAGTTACAGTGAGAGAAAGAACTAACAAATGACAAGAGTTCATTTAATTGATTCGAAGCTTTTTCTTTCTTCTTTCACATGTGAACGGCAACAAGAATAAAAGTTTGTATTTATGATCTATGGAATATGTCAAACGAATGAAATGAATTAAAGTTTATTCAATTTCTTTCGTTTCACATTCAAATTTGTTTATTTTTTTAATATTTAATCGCTTAATCACAGCCTTTAATGATTTGGATCCATACCTTTTTGTCAAATGATCGTGAGATATTGATTCGGTTAGTTTTGGACTTCAAGTGGTTTTGTACAACATTTCAACACAAATTTATCCGTACATGAACTTCTGCCCGATTTTCATTCAAGTTCGCCACAGACACGCAAATACACACGTTCGCACAAAAGAAATCAATTCACATGGGTAACACTTGAATTTTTCGCCGAAAATGTGCACGAATCACACAAATAATTATTCTTTTTTGTTTTGTGATTTAATTGTATGGAACACTCAAACTATAAATTAGGTAAATATTGCCAAAAGTGACTGTCACCGATGATAATATACATTCGAAAAAAAAAAAACAACAATAACAATCTGAAGAGAAAAATCGGCAGCAATAATACCAAGAGCCAAGAACTTTATTTTCTTCACATGCAAAGTCGTTGTCGTTTTACTTCAATTCACATTGTTTTCCACGGTACATTATTTGTTATTATTCTTATTCTGTCGGCGTTTTTTACATAGATTCGCATATGCTATTATGGTTCATATAAATATCGCTTTTTGGATTACACTAAAAGACACAAGTAAATTTTACCCAAAAAGAAAAAAAAATATACATTCAATGAAAAATACAACGAACTTCCAAACAACACAAATATTTAGTTTGGAACGATAGAAGCGAACGCTACTTCAGGACTCAAAAAAAAGAAAATCACATCGAATAATGTTGTTCCGTTGTACCGCACCGAATTTTTAGTTGAGCACACCGTTTCAGTTGTGAGTGCCATGAAAATGGAAAAGAAACTGTTTGCAGCTCGAATTGCTGTGCCAGCTTTATACCGTTACAAACAAAATCGGTTTGGTCGCATATAATTGTGTTTTGGTGCTATATAACACTGTATCATAATTATATGTATAACTTATTAGGGAGCAAGTAGCTGAATGGCTAGAGTAACAATATAGTTACTGCATACATTGACACGAATTCCTTTTTCCCATTTCGGTGTTCAACATAAAACATACGGTATACGGCCACACAACGATGGCATAAATAACAATAACATTAACTAAAACCATAAACCTGAAATAGAGGTATGCGTATTCGGGATTTTCAGGTGCTTTTGCTTAATTTAGCAGTTGGATTTCAAGTGTAAATTGTGGTGTAGTCTGAACGGCCGCACACTTTATGTAAACATAGTTTGTATCGTAATACGGTTGTAACGGGTGAATCAATACAATTGGCCAGTAACATTCCGTGCAATACTTCGATTTTTAACTCCGCAAACAATACGGAGTCACCAAATATGCAAACAAAACGCAGACTATTTTCAACGCAACAAAAACTAACCACGACTTTGAATTGAAAGCAAACAAAAAAAAAATTCAAAGGAAGTTCGTATTTCTTCTTCTTCTGTTTTTGTAAAACTGAATATTAAACTCGAAAAGGTAAAAATAGAAATGTAGCAAAATGACCTGCAAGCTTCCATTCTTTTTGTAGCTAAATAATATTTATTAGGAAAATTGACGTCTTCTATAATGGGAAAGCCTACTTTATTATTAACATTGGTGATGATGCATCGGCGAAGAAGGTCAATTCCTGAATTCGGTCACCATTAAAAGTAATTAACAAATACAGGGCATGAGCGTCAAAACAAGTAATATTGATACATACTATTATTATTATCGATACAGCTTAATGAAATGAGAACGTAGTACAGTTCACATTTCAAAAACGATATAAAATTTTCAATAAGACGAAATGATCAGCCAAATAAAAAGCTAGATATGCGGTAAGCAATTCAATGCAATGTGAGTACAGTGATGAATAAACAATTTATGACTGAGCCAATATACTTTGTCAAGTAGCCCAAGTGTAACACATTCCTAATATGGTCGTCGGGTGCTGAGAGATGAGACTGACGTCAGAACTGTTCAGTTCAATTGGTATTTGTATGGGGGAGCGAATGTGAATGTCAATATTGATCCAGTGTTCATGATAAGCAGAGTGATCAAATTGATAAAAAAAAACAAAGTGGTTCAGTTTTACTTGGGTCGAAATGTAAACAAGCCAATTGTCAATATTTCGTTTCGATTAAGAGCACATCGAGAGGAAGTCAAAGCAAATAAAAATGTCGATTGTAATTACTATCCGAATGAAGTATGAAAAGATGAGACAATACGATAAAATAATATGAAATAACATTTGAATTATTTTCAGTTTTGTTGATTTTTCGCATTTCAAATGGGCCCGTGAGCGCTATTGCTTTATGACCGAAGTAGATGACCATCGTAATAATATATAAAACTCGGTTTTTTTATTTACTTTGTCATTTTCATATTCATTTACATTCATATTTGTCGCTATTCTGTTTGTCGATTACAATTGATGTGAAAAGCTATGCATTTCTATTTATGTGCTTCATATATAAGCACATTGCAATTTGTGAAGGATAAAACTTTGAAATTATTAAGTTAATATTGTTTGATCAAACATGAAAACCAAATGAAAAACAACATGTTTATGTTGACGGGCGTCTCCATTAACCGCAAAAAATGCTATGCTTTGTTTTTGTTGGTTCATGTCTTGAACGCAAAGCTTTATGAATGCAGTTTAAAGCTTTAAAAGGTGTGTACAAAAGGCACGGCCAAGCGATAGCACACATTTGCATACAAATACGACACTTGATAAACATTCAATGAATCTGAATATACGTATAAACAAAGCTCGTTCTATCAAAAGTAAACATTTTAATATTCAATGTGACATAATCTCTTTAAACTGTAGATTATTTTTAATGACTTTAACGGATGCTATGCCGTTCGATGAAAATTGGAAAATATTTTTTGTTTGTTTGTTTATTTTATAGTTATTTGCATTTGGTGAGACAGACGATTGATGCGTTTGCATAATGTTCCAATGGCATATTCACATATGTGTGACACATATTGGCCAGAAAACAACTTGTTGCAAAAAAAGACAAACCGACGAAAAAATTGATTGGCGTATAAATGATCGGTTAAAAAATTCGATCGATATTGCAACTGTTTAGATTTTATATCAATTGCATTGGCAAAACAGAAGGAAACGAAAACAAAAAATTGATGTAAATCAAATAGTAAACAATCGACAAGTAAATAAAAAAAAACAAATTTGTTGTAAATGCTTGATTCGAATTAAAATAAACAATCATACTACATTTTTTCTTAAGCGATGGCGCTTATTTAATGCGCCGCTGAACCCCAGTTGTCACAACAGACCCGACAACAAGAACAACTATGTCGAAGACAATTACGAGAGTTTGAGTACCACAAAAAAATATCAACTGATCTATTCTCTCTCTGTGTCTCTCTCTCGTCTCTATTTTGCAATTAATTCGTACGCCAATTTTTTGTATTGAATATTTTGTTTGATATGGGCTTGTTATTGGCGATCAACGTAAAAATTATTCACATAGATAGACATATATACAAAATGTGGCGTCGAACAAATCAACTAAGACGTGTGCGCGCGTGAGCGCTCGCTTATTCGAGCTCGCCTTCTCATACACTAGATGCGAATTACATAATCGGTGTGATTGACTTGTGTGTTGAAAGAGAGACAAACAAACAAAAACAGCGTGTGACGGATAGAAAGAGAAACGTTGACGATGTAATATGAACTCACCAAATCCAGTTGACCCAAGACGCAGATTAATCATTCTGGATGCCAAACCAATGTTGAGAAAGTGTTTTTATTTTCAACCCAATGCAATGAACTATTGCCGGCGAAAGTTATACAGCAACAGCAGTAGTACCAGCAACACTTGATGGTGGCATTTATTCGATCCATGCGTACGTAGAGCTTGCGATGTCAAAGTCAACAATGAACAAAATGTGAACTAAATGAAAATCGAGAGGTGTATACACCTCATTAAAGAAAAATTGAATGTGGTACCATAATTATGATTGCAATCAATTTGAAAATAGACACGATTAGAAAATCGAAAATATTCTTTAATTAAAAAATGTTTGATTTGTTTACATCGAAACGTGTTTTTCGCTCGTTATCTCAATTTTGACTTTAAATAATTTACGTCATTGCCATAGTATATGTTCATAATACATTATAAATGAAATAAGTTTTTATTATTGCATCTATAAATAAATGAATTGAAAGAGAGCAGTTTCATTTTTCAATAAATGCTACATTTTATTTCAAGACGAATAAAAATGAATTGATGGCATTTTATTATCATATTCTATTTTGAAATTAAAATGCAAACACATCAATTAGTTAAATTGTATATGTAGACGGTTTATCATCATCAAACGTGACTTTTTTTTTTCATTCGCGTGTATATTTGTTCGGTTCTCTTTTGATTCCAATTCCGATTCCGATTTCAATCGAAAACACAATCAAACCATATCGATTCATGCGTACGTGTTCATCGCATGTTGTTATCAATTCATTGTTAGTTTCCTTCCTTTTCCATCTCTCAGTGTCTATATCTCTGTTTAACTCTGTCTGTGTGTATTGTTGTATGTAAATGCGTATGGTGTTGCTTGCAATGGTCGCAGCCCACAACAACAATACCATTGTGGCCGTTCAGTAGAATGTTCGAGATATTGAACGCAATCGTAAAGTTGATTGAACAAATAAAATGTGTATTTTATGTTGTTGTTGTTGCCGTTTGTACATTTTGTTCGTGTATTCTCTTGAAAATTATTATATAATCGACGGTGGATCAATGATTTAGAGGTGACATTGTTGCATCTTCCGGCATTTATAATGAATTCAAAATGATCTGAACATATACTCGGCATCTCGGTCCATAAATTTTGACCACGCACAATAAGCATATCTGCTGAATGCCATATCTCATTTCATGATTTCGGATTTGTAAATTTGCATCTCTTTGTTGTTGTTGTTGAATGCGAATGACAAGCATGCTGCTATGCGACCAATTAGATGGATGTGCGATAGTTGTATGATCTCTCTATGGCATGATAAATAAGAACATTACAAATGTATGCACACAAACGTGTTTAGAGAAAATTGTGATGAAGTCAATGACAGCAAATAGAATATCGGATTGGATTGACTTGGCTTATACATTGGATGTCATCGCAATAATGACATTTGTCATATGCATGGCACACGCTCAATATTTTGTCGAGTGGTTTTTTTCGCGACACAAAATTAAGCATGAATATAAAACAAAGTGCGAGAGAAACTGCAAGAGAGCAACAAAGAAGAAAAAAAACAACGCAATGCACCTCATAAATCTGGATGCATTTTACATTGTTATGGAAAGCCATAGAGAATCGAAAAGAAAGAGAGAAAAACCGCAGCAGTTTAAAATTTAACAAACATAAACAAACAACCAAAGTGAAGAAGCCGTAGGGAAATGTAATCGGCGAACAATGATAATAATGCTAACAATTAAGTAATTTTGTTAGCGTAAACATCATAAGTGCGAAGTGTCGAAGGCAATAGAGAAGAAATGAATAGCTCGTAAAAATCCAACTAAATGAAATGTAATATGTACATTCTATTAACCGGCACAAGGGCAAACAAAGGACCAACAACCTCACAAATATACAAATCATACACGACCAAAAAGAAAATACTGAGCTCACCAACACTATAGCATTCGCACAATACTGGGGCCAATTGCTTTGCGAGCAACACCGCCGAGCTGAGAAAATGATAGCTGAATCAACAGAATTAATCGAAAAAAAAAATTGCAATGCACTGCTCATGCACTCACACCATATACACATAACACACACATTTAGCG